TATTGTCTCGTCTGTTCATGACTACCTAGCAACATGTTTGTATAAAATCTGTTTCGAACATTATATCAGACGTCCCATTATTAGTTTCTTCACAGTTAGAAAACCAGTTAAAATAGCAGATAAATCACACGATAACTCGTGATATAAATATTCTTTATCCATAGAATAAAGATTTATGTTTCAATGATAATTCGAACGTTTTTTACAGACAGTCTTTCTACAAATAACCCCGTAACTTGGAAAACGAATAACGAATGAATTACTAGTGATGAAGTGTCGAGTTTTCTTTTTATTAGGGTTTGGGTTTTCTGGCCACGGTTATCGATCATCTTGGTGGTAAATATTTCTCACTATAACATCTTGTTGTTTGTACGTCTTCGGTTTGTAATGAGCCATCATCATTACTTTCGGTGAAGTGACGAAAAAAAAGCAATTCGTTTGATTTATTGCACTTCGCGAATCACGAAAATACACGTCTGTCTCAACAATATTGCATCATAGCGTGTTTGCTAAATTGGCCGTTAATTTGAAGTGCGCTAATCTAAAGACACTCTGTTTACCCGGAGAAGCCGCTGTATAAAGACACTCTGTTTACCCGGAGAAGCCGCTGTATAAAGACGCTCTGTTTACCCGGAGAATCCGCTGTATAAAGACACTCTGTTTACCCGGAGAAGCCGCTGTATAAAGACACTCTGTTTACCCGGAGAAGCCGCTGTATAAAGACACTCGTTTACCCGGAGAAGCCGCTGTATAAAGACACTCTGTTTACCCGGAGAAGCCGCTGTATAAAGACACTCTGTTTACCCGGAGAAGCCGCTGTATAAAGACACTCTGTTTACCCGGAGAAGCTGCTGTAAGTAATTTGTTAGTAGCGACTGACAGTGAGCATATATATTTTAAAGTAATTACATTTTCCATTAATGTGTTTCATAGTACTAGGCTTGATTCGTGTAGCCGGAACAGTATTTTGAAGCTCAACGTGAGCATGACGTTACGGAAGAAAATTAAAGTGTAAACTACACATCACCATAGTTACGTGGTGAGTTCGTTTAAACTACACATCACACTTGTTACGTGGTGAATTCGTTCCAACTACACACCACACTTGTTACGTGGTGAATTCGTTTAAACTACACACCACACTTGTTACGTGGTTAGTTCGTCTAAACTACACATCACACTTGTTACGTGGTGAATTCGTTCAAACTACACACCACACTTGTTACGTGGTGAGTTCGTTTAAACTACACACCACACTTGTTACGTGATGTGTTCGTTTAAACTATACACCGCACTTGTTACGTGGTGAGTTCATTTAAACTACACACCACACTTGTTACGTGATGTGTTCGAATAAACTATACACCACACTTGTTACGTGATGTGTT